CTCCAAGACGGCACAAGAAGCCCCCGGGATCGTCCAAAAACGGCCCAACAAGCCCCCAAGAGGGCTCCAAGACAGCCCAAGAGGGCTCCAGGACGGCCCAAGAGGCGCCCGGGACGGCCCAAGAGGGGCCCCAGGACGGCCCCACGAGGGCGCCCAGAAGAGGAACCCGAATGAACATTTCGAGCTCGGTCCCAAGAGGCCCCCAGGAGGACCTAAGAGGCCCCCAGGAGGCCCCCAAGAGGCCCCAAGAGAACCCCAAGAGGCCCCAAGAGAGCCCCAAGAGGCTCCCAAAAAGCCCCCAGGATGGCCCCCAAGAGGCACCTAAACTCCCCCGCAGAAGCCCCCGAGAGCCCTCTCTCGAGACCCTAGGAAGCGTCCATGAGAACTCCGACCCAAAACCCAAGCACGGTGGCGGGATGGGCCGACGGTTAGCTGACGTACGCACCGCGTCACGACTTTCGATGCTAGGGTCAAGGGCCCACGGGCCCCCCCCCCCAGATGTTATGGTCCCAGGATTCCTCGGGCCCCCCCCCCCAGATGGCATGGTCCCAGAGACGACGACGACGACGACGACGACGACGACGACGACGACGACGGCTGCGACGACGGCGACGACGGCGACGACGGCGACGACGACGACGACAACGACGACGACGACGACGACGACGACGGCTGCGACGACGGCGACGACGGCGACGACGGCGACGACGGCGACGACGACGACGACGACGACCACGACGACGACAACGACGGCTGCGGCGGCGACGACGCCGGCGGCGGCGGCGACGACGACGATGACGACGATGACGACAGCGACGACGACGATGACGACGACGACGATGATGACGACGACGATGCCGACGACGACGAGGACGACGAGGACGACGAGGACGACGAGGACGACGAGGACGACAAGGACGACGAGGACGACGGCGACGACGACGACGACGACGACCTCTGAACCACCACAGCACCACACCACATCCACAGGGGGGGGGAGGGGGGCACCGCAGTGCAACACCACGCCACGCCCACCTCTGAACCACCACAGCACCACACCACATCCACCGGGGGGGGGGGAGGGGGAACCGCAGCGCAGCACCACGCCACGCCCACAGGGGGGAGCGGGGGGGACCATCGCGCGGGGGGGGGGGGGCCCAATGGCATCAGCATTGGGGGGGGGGGCCCAAACCCTGGATCATATATACACCGACACCCTCCGACAGACCTCCGACCCCGCCAGCAGGCTCCCAACAAACATTCGATGGGCCGGGCCTCAAGAAGCCCCCAATAAGCCCAAAAGAGGCTCACAAGAAGCCCCAAGAAGCCCCCTAACGGCCCCAAGAGGAGCCGAAGAGGCTTCAAAACTGCCTCCAAGAGGTTCCCGAGACGCTGCGTCAAACTCCCAGGGAGAGGCCGGTGATGCGCCGCCGGCGTTCTCGATTTATACACCGACATCTTCCGACAAACTTTGCAGGTACCTGCAGGGAGGGCGGCGGTGTGTAAAGTCGCTGGCTCCCAATGGTGATTTATACACCGCGACCCTCCCCTGAGGCCCAGGAACAAGCCATTGGAATGAGTCTGTGTATTTTTTCCGGCGGAGAACAATCTCTGTCGCCATCCTTTCCGTGCGTAACCACTTGGTCGACTCTGGAAACCTTGAAAATTACCCTGGCGACGGACCCAACCATATGCAGTTGTGGGTACCGCAGTTGTGAATATCTTCTTCGGTGGAGCTCCATATGGGGCCACAAAGCGCTGCACTGGGTGGGGGGGGAACGCATGCGGGCGGTAGAACTGGGGCCGTCGGGCGAACTCCCTATGGGGCAACGAAACGCCGTACTGGGTGGGGTGAAAATGCCAAATTTGGTGTGTGGGACGCATGCGGGCGGTCCCACTGGTGGCTTCGGTGGAGCTCCCTATGGGGCCACGAAACGTATGAGGGGTGTGCCACATTTGGTTTCCAGGACGCATGCGGACGGTCCCACTGGAGGCTTCGGTGGAGCTCCCTATGTGGCCACGAAGCGCTACACTAGGTGGGAGGGAACGCATGCGGGCGGTAGAACTGGGGCCGTCGGGCGAACTCCCTATGGGGCCACGAAACGCCGTACTGGGTGGGGAGACCATGCAAAACCTGGTGTGTGGGACGCATGCGGGCGTTCCCAGTGGTGGCTTCGGTGCAGCTCCCTATGGGGCCACGAAACGTATGAGGGGTGTGCCAAACTTGCTTTCCGGGACGCATGCGGACGGTCCCACTGGGGGCTTCGGCGGAGCCCCCTATGGGGCCACGAAGCGTTGTACTGGGTGGGCGAAAATGCCAAATTGGGTTTCCGAGACGCATGCGGACGGTCCCACTGGGGGCTTCGGTGGAGCTCTCTACGGGGTCACGAAACTCCGTAGTGGGTGGTGTGAAAATACCAAATTAGATCTCCGGGACGCACGCGGAAAGTCCCAGGGGCTTCGGTGGGGCTCTCTATGGGGCCACGAAGCGCTGTAGAGGGGGGGGGAGGAACATGCGGACGGTAGCACTGGGACCTTCGGTGGGGCTCCCTATGGGGCCACGAAGCGCTGTACTGGGTGGTGGGGGAGCATTTGAACAGTAGCACTGTGACTTCGGCGGGGTCCCTGCGGGGCCACGAAACGCTGTACTGGGCGGTTGGGGGACGCATGCGGACGGTAGCACTGGGACCTTCGGTGGGGCTCCCTATGGGGCCACGAAGCGCTGTATGGGTGGGGGGGACGCATGCGGACGGTAGCACTGGGACCTTCGGTGGGGACTCCCATGGGGCCACGAAGCGCTGTACTGGGTGGGGGGGACGCATGCGGACGGTAGCACTGGGACCCTCAGTGGGGCTCCCTGCGGGGCCACGAAGCGCTGTACTGGGTGGGAGGGACGCATGCGGACTGTAGCACTGGGACCTTCGGTGGGGCTCCCTATGGGGCCACGAAACGCTGTACTGGGCGGGGGGGAAGCATGCGGACGGTAGCACTGGGACCTTCGGTGGGGCTCCCTATGGGGCCACGAAACGCTGTACAGGTTGGGGGGGACGCATGCGGAAGGTAGGACTGGGACCTTCGGTGGGGCTCCAGATGGGGCCACGAAACGCTGTACTGGGTGGGGGGGGCGCATGCGGACGGTAGCACTGGGACCTTCGGTGGGGCTCCCTATGGGGCCACGAAGCGCTGTACTGGGTGGGGGGGGCGCATGCGGACGGTAGCACTGGGACCTTCGGTGGGGCTCCCTATGGGGCCACGAAACGATGTGAGGGGTAAGTATGCTGAAACGGGTGATGATGATGGTGATGATGGTGATGGAGGAGGGAGAAGGGGGAGGAGGAGAGGAGAGGAGGAAGAGAACGCGGGGCGACGTCTCTTCAAAACGAGGACCCAACACCACAGGATGGTTTGGAACAAAAGCCTCGGCATCTCTGAGGTGGGAAGATGTTACTTCCGTTGGGTCGGGTCGGCTCCGAGCCCGGGGCCCAGCCATCCGACGTCGTTCGATACGATCGAAATTGGTATGGAAAAATGGGAACGAAGACCGACAGCAGCTTGTGCCCACTTTGAACAGGAGTCGCTGTCGGTGTCGGTGCGGACGTTGACCGTTTGAGACTGCGAATCGCCTGCCTGACAGCGACCGCTGTCGGTGCCGTACCCATGTGGGGCGATCCGCATCGTGAGTCCTGCTTTCAGCGTGGCTCCCTGGAGATCTGGACCCCTTCCTGGGGACCGGCCCCCCTGCTGGACGGCCTCGTGATGGCCCCGGGGCCTGGGCGAAGGGGGCCCCCAGCGGCCGAGACCTACAAACACTCCGTCGTGACTTCTTGCTCGCGGCGCGAGGGGTTTTTTGGCCCTCGCGTCACAAGCTCGGCTCGCTGGCGGCTGTGCGGGACGACCCGGGCCCCCGCGGGATGCTCGCCTTCCTTGGCTCCCCTCCGCTTCCTCCGCTTTCTCTGCTTCCTCCTCCTCCTCCTGCTCCTCCTCCTCCTCCTCCTCCTCCTCCGCTTCCTCCTCCTCCGCTTCCTCCTCCTCCATCCTCCTCCCCCCGCTCCTCCTCCTCCTCCTCCCACTCCTCCTCCTCCTCTCCTCCCTTCCTCCTCCTTCCTCCTTCCTATTACTCCCTCCTCCTCCCCCTTCTGCCTACCTCCTACTCCCCTTGCTCCCTCCTGCTCCTTCCTCCTGGATCGCTTCCTCCCCTTCCTCCCGCTTCCCGTTCCTCCTCCTTCCTACCTCCTCCTCCTCCTCTTCATCATCATCATCATCATCATCATCATCATCACATCATCATCATCATCATCATCATCATCATCCATCATCAGCATCATCATCATCATCATCATCTTCATCATCATCATTCTTCTTCATCATAATCATCATCGTCAGCATCTGCATCAGGGGGGGGGAGGGGCATCCATCACATCACCATCCCCATCACCTCACCATCATCTTCATCATCATATCTTCTCATCAGCATCATCACATCATCAGATCTAATCATCAGCAATCAGCATCATCATAATCACCATCACCATCACCATCACCATCTCCATCAACAATACCATCACCTTCACCCATCACTTCAATCATCATCATCTTCATCATCTTCTAATCAACATCATCATCATCACCCATCTCATCATCATCATCATCATCTTCATCATTCATCATCATCAACATCATCGTCCTCCTCATCATCTTCCTCCCACTCTCCTCTCCTGCTCCTTCCTCCCGGTACCTCCTCTCTCCTGCTTCCCCGCTTCCTCCCGCTTCACCAGATATCCTTCTTAATCTCCTCCTCCTCTTCCTCCTCCTCCTCCTCCTGCTGCCTCGCTTCCTCCGCTTCCTCCGCTCCCTCCGCTTCCCCTGTTTCCTCGTTGTCCTCGTCCTCCTCTTCATCCTCCTCCTCCTCCTCCTCCTCCTCCTCCTCCTCCTCCTCCTCCTCCTCCTCCTCTGAGTCTGAGTCTGGGCTGGCGCCGAGGGCCCCCCCCCGAGCCCGGGGCGTAGCCGCCGCTCGCGCTGTAGCCCAGCTGCTTCGGGCGCTGGAACACCACCCCGTGCCTGCCGCTGGCGAGCCCGTGCCTCTGCGCGCAGGCGCGGGCAGCGTGTGCCCTGGCCCAACGGAAGTGTAAGAAAACGCCCTCCCCGCTGTTCTTTCTGATCCTCAACTGCCTGTTTTCCAGCAGCTCATCCCCCTATCACCATCACCACAGATGCCATCAACACCATCAACCTCATCGCCGTCATCATCATCATCATCATCATCATCATCATCATCATCATCATCAGCAGCATCATCAGCATTATCATCATCATCATCATCATCAGCAGCAGCATAAGCAGCATCATCAGCATCATAATCAGCAGCAGCATCAGCATCATAATCATCATCAGCATCATCATCATCATCATCATCATCATCATCATCATCATCACCAGCATCATCGTCATCGTCGTCATCGTCATCGTCATCATCAGCATCAGCATCATAATAATCATTATCATCATCAGCATCATCATCATCAGCATCATCATCATCACCGTCGTCATCATCATCACCAGTAGCAGCATCATTGTTATCAACATCGTCAGCATCATCAGCAGCAGCAGCAGGAGTACGATCATCATCATGTTTGGAATGGTTTATCCCACCCTCTGGCTGCCCTCCTCCTCCTTCTCCTCCTCCTCCTTGTCCTCCTCCTTCTCCTCCTCCTCCTCCTCCTCCTTCGCCTCCCGCCTCCCCCTTCCACGTCTGCTTTTCAGTTCCTTCCTCTTGCGACTCCAAAGTATCCGACTCCTTTTTAACTGTAATGAATGATGCTGCCATTGCCGCAAGTGTTGCTCTTCCTCCTCCTCCTCCTCCTCCAAATTCTTTCAAATCATCCTCCTCCTCCACCTCCTCTTCATCCACCTGTTCCTCCCCGTCCTCCTCCTCCTCCTCCTCCTCGTCCTTCTCGTCCTCCTCCTCATGCTTTGCCCCCCCAATCCGCCCCACCCCCACCCCGCAGGGCTGGCCTGCACACCAGAAGTGTTGCGCCCCCCCTCCTCGTGACGCCATGCCCGCGGGCATCACGCACGACCACTCAGTGCTCAGTGCCAGTGCCACCTCGCCGTCGCCCCGCGGCCCGCCCAGCGACACGCCACGCGACCAGCTGGCAAACCCACCCGCGACCCGCCGCCCGCCCAACCAACCAACCGTGCCCATCGCGACCGCCGCCCGCCACGAATTGAGGACGAAGAAACGGCATAAACACAAGCTGCAAGAGCTCCGCGCGGATTTTGTTTGATCTGCTTGGGCCACCACTCCCTGGCGCGCGAGGCGCGCCAGGAGCAGCGCCCGAGGCGCCGCCAGGTGTAGCCCAGCGCAGATCCAAGCAATCCGCGCGGAGTTCTGAAAATTCATGGTTATGCAATTTCCGAGAGAACGCATTTCGTGGACGCTTGCCTGGAAAAAGACACCTTGACCTGTCGGAACCGCCCCCCCCCAAAAAAATATCCTGGCGAAGGTCCCAACCATATGCAGTTGTGGGCACCGTAATTGTGAATACCTGTTTCGGTGGAGCTCCCTATAGGGCCACGAAGCGCTGCACTGGGCGGTGGGGAACGCTGTATTGGTCAGGTGGTGTGCCGAAGTGGGTTTCCGGGACGCATGCGGACGGTCCCACTGAGGGCTTCGGTGGAGCTCCTTATGGGGCCACGAAGCGCTCGACTGAGTGAGTGAAAATACCAAATTCGGTTACCGGTACGCACGCGGACGGTCCCACTGGGGGCTTCGGTGGAGCCCCCTATGGGGCCACGAAACGCTGCACTGCGCTGGTGAAAATGCCAAATTACATTTCCCGGACACATGCGGACGGTGGCACTGGGGCCTTCGGTGGAGCCCCCTATGGGGCCACGAAACGCTGCACTGGGTGGGTGAAAATGCTAAATTGGGCTTCTGGGGTGCATGCGGACGGGGGCACTGGGGCCTTCGGTGGAGCTCCAGATGGGGCCACGAAGCGTTATACTGGGTGAAACGCAAGGAGGAGGGGGAGGAGGGCCACGAGACGCTGTACTGGGTGTGCGGGACGCATGCGGACGGTAGCGCAGGGACCTTCGGCGGGGCTCCCTACGGGGCCACGAAACGCTGTACTGGGTGTGCGGGACGCATGCGGACGGTAGCACTGGGACCTTCGGTGGGGCTCCCTATGGGGCCACGAAGCGCTGTACTGGGTGGGTGAAACGCAGGGAGGAAGGGGAGGAGGGCCACGAAACGCTGTACTGGGTGTGCGGGACGCATGCGGACGGTAGGACTGGGACCTTCGGTGGAGTTCCCTATGGGGCCACGAAACGCTGTACTGGGTGTGCGGGACGCATGCTGACGGTAGCACTGGGACCTTCGGTGGGGTTCCCTATGGGGCCACGAAGCGCTGAACTGGGTGTGCGGGACGCATGCGGACGGTAGAACTGGAACCTTCGGTAGAGCTCCCCATGGGGCCACGAAGCGTTGTACTAGGTGGGTGAAACGCAGGGAGGATGGGGAGGAGGGCCACGAGACGCTGTACTGGGTGTGCGGGACGCATGCGGACGGTAGCGCTGGGACCTTCGGTGGGGCTCCCTATGGGGCCACGAAGCGCTGTACTGGGTGGATGAAACGCAGGGAGGGAGGCGAGGAGGGCCACGAAACGCTGTACTGGGTATGCGGGGCGCATGCACACGGTAGCACTGGGACCTTCGGTGAAGCTCCCCATGGGGCCACGAAGCGCTGTACTGGGTGTGCGGGACGCATGCGGACGGTAGCACTTGGACCTTCGGTGGGGCTCCTTATGGGGCCACGAAGCGCTGTACTGGGTGGGTGAAACGCAGGGAGGAAGGGGAGGAACGCCACGAAACGCTGTACCGGGTGTGCGGGACGCATGCGGACGGTAGCGCTGGGACTTTCGGTGGGGCTCCCTATGGGGCCACGAAACGCTGTACTGGGTGGGTGAAACGCAGGGACGAAGGGGAGGAGGGCCACGAAACGCTGTACTGGGTGTGCGGGACGCATGCGGACGGTAGCGCTGGGACCTTCGGTGAAGCTCCCCATGGGGCCACGAAGCGCTGTACTGGGTGTGCGGGACGCATGCGGACGGTAGCACTTGGACCTTCGGCGGGGCTGCCTATGGGGCCACGAAGCGCTGTACTGGGTGTGCGGGACGCATGCGGACAATAGCACTGGGACCTTCAGTGGGGCTCCCTATGGGGCCACGAAGCGCTGTACTGGGTGGGTGAAACGCAGGGAGGAGGGGGAGGAGGGACACGAAACGCTGTAATGGGTGTGCGGGGCGCATGCGGACAGTAGCACTGGGACCTTCGGTGGAGCTCCCTGTGGGGCCACGAAACGACGCTGTACTGGGTGTGCGGGACGCATGCGGACGGTAGCACTGGGACCTTCGGTGGGGCTCCCTATGGGGCCACGAAACGCTGTACTGGGTGTGCGGGATGCATGCGGACGGTAGTGAGGAGGGGGAAGAGGAGGAATATGAGGAGAACGCTGGGACCGTCCCTTCAAAACGAGGACCCAACACCACAGGATGGCTTGGAAAAATTGAGCGCCCCTGGACAACCAAGGGGACCCCCCCCTGGATACAGACACTGGCCTCCCTAATGAACCGGCCCCGCCCAAGATTGGGGGGTCGAACCAAGAGGTGGGGGCAACCCCTGTCCAAAGGGGGGAGGGGGGTTTGAAACGAGATCCCCCCCACTTGACTTGCAAAGAGGAAGAGGGGTCCGAACCACAGGGCCCCCCCCCTTGTCCATGGGGGTGGGGGGGGGATAGGAAACGGGAGGGCCCCCCCCCCCCCGAGTTGTGGGGGGGGTGATCGAACCGGGACCCCCTCCCCCCTGTGCGCGTCGGCGTCGTCGCACTGGTCGCCGTCGCCGTCGCCGTCTCCGTAGTCGCCGTCGTCGTCGTCGTCGTCGTCGTCGTCGCCGTCGCCGTCGCCGTCGCCGTCGCCGTCGCCGTCGCCGTCGCCGTCGCCGTCGCCGTCGCCGTCGCCGTCGCCGTCGCCGTCGCCGTCGCTGTCGCCGTCGCTGTCGCCGCCGTCGCCGCCGTCGCCCTTGCCGTCGCTGCTGGGCATCGTGCCGATTTGTCTGTACCCGATTCGTGCCAATATGTCGTACCTACCATGCTGGGGGGCCCGAATCCCCACTGACTTACCACCCGGTGTGGTCACCGCATTGTTGGGGGGTCCCCGTCACCACGTCTGGTAGGCATTCGCCAGGGCCAGAGGATGCTGGGCGAGGGGAACCAAGGCGTTGGCCTCCACGGCAACACCACATGAGCCTCGACTGAGGCGACCTCTGCGCTGCATCTGTGGCAACAGCAGCGAGCAAGTGAGACCGACACCAGCGATGGACACGTGCATCGACTACACGCAGAAGTGGCCCTGGGTAAGAACGACCTTTGGTGCACGGCTTTTCGGGGGTCGCGGGCGGATCAAACCCGGGCGCGCAAGACGCTACTGCCGCATCGCGTTCGGCGATCGGGGGACCCCCGTGGGCCGCACCGGAGGTCACTCCAGCGAAGGGTCACTCTTACGCGTAGTCGACTGCACAGCGCTACGGGGAACCAGGGCGGGAGCCAGCCGACGAGGCAGGTGCCCCGAGGCCCGCGCCCTGGCATCTTCATCTTGTGGTCGGCGTCCGCGGGCTTCCCTGCAGACGCCGAGCGGGGCCAGCGCGCCGCGCGGCGGGCAGGGCCACAAGAGAGAACAGCTGCAGCCAGCACATGGCCACAAGAGCGGGCCAAGTGCCGGAGAATCGGACGGACAAAAAGAAATCAGTATAGGATGGGGTTCACGGATCAGCTCACGTAGCTGGTTTTCCGGGCGCCTCACGGCGCCTGAGGCGCCAGCCAATCGCGGCCAGCGCCCGGCGGCGGGGCCGAAACCAGCTGCATGCAGCCGGCTTCGTATCCCCCCTTTGCATATCCCCCCCCTCGTCCGACCCGAAGTGGAGGAGCGGATGCCATGGGAGGAAGAGATGGAGGGGATGCCATGGGAGACCGATACCGCCTCGCCCTGGCCGATACCTTTGCCGTTGCAGAGTGGAGGGGCGATGAA